AGACACTTCCTCATGATGTATACCCACATCGCGCTCTCGGGCGGGACTTCCCCACACATTATACAAGCATCGCGCTCTCGCGTGGGACTTCCTTGCATTTTATTCAGACGCCGTGCCCTCGACACTCAGGAATCACGCTCTCGCTGTGGATCCCCCAAACATGTCTTTGGGAATCGCGCTCTCGCTCGAGACGTACTCGCGACTCATGCGGGACGCACGCTTCAACAACTCGCCTGCTCGACCTGCCCCCCGGGCCCGCCTTCCTGACCCGCCCGTGAGAGTCTAACCCGCCCGATCTGCCCGTCTGGTTCTGCCATACGTTTTCTGCTCCGAGCCCCCCTCCTGGTACTCTTACTCGTGCTCCATCCTCCTCCCTCCCCCTTGTCCATTCCTTCCATCCGTCCTCTTCTCCCCTGCCCTAGGGCTGCACGACATACACGTCGCAGGTCAGAAGAATGTGCACCTGATGGGGGTAAGATCGAAGACGAAGAGGGCTGGTATCGAGGGTGTGGGATATTACGTGCTCAATGGCACGCGAGCAGGTGGGAGCGAGCGACCTTAAACTAGTTGTTGTTGCTGCTGCTGTTGCTGTTGCTGTTGCTGTTGCTGTTGTTGCTGTTGTTGTTGGTGTTGTTGTTGTTGTTGTTGTGGTTGTTGTTGTTGTTGTTCTTGTTATTGTTATTGTTCTTGTTGTTGTTGTTGTTGTTGTTGTTGTTGTTGTTGTTTTCCCACTTCTAAAGAATACGTATTGTTGGTTCGGCCCCTCTGGTAACCATGGCTTCTTCAATTAAGGTGTTTCTTCCGGGGCTCCCACCCTGATCTTCACAAAGAAAACGAGGCGCCACCAAACTGTGCCCGTGGACCCCTGTTGACAACCACGGCAACAACAACCGCTCCAGCGTGATACCTATGCATCATCTATACCCACATCGCGCTCTCGCGCGGGACCTCCCCACACATGATACAGGAATCGTGCTCTCGCGTGGGATTTTGTCCGCCATGTATTCAAACGCCGCGCCCTCGACGCTCAAGAATCACGCTCTCGCTGTGGACCCCCTCAAGGTTTATTTTGGAATCGCGCTCTCGCTCGAGACTTACTCGCGACTCATGCGGGACGCACGCTTCAGCAACTCGCCTGCCCGACCTGCCGTCCGGGCCCGCCTTCCCGACCCGCCCGAAAAAGTCTAACCCGCCCGATCTGCCCGTCTGGTTCTGCCACGTGTTTTCTGCTCCGAGCCCCCCTCCTGGTACTCTTACTCGTGCTCCATCCTCCTCCCTACCACTTGTCCCTTCCTTCCATCCGTTCTCTCTTCCCCTGCCCTAGGGGTTGCACGTCATACACCCCTGAAGGGGGTACGATCGAAGACGAAGAGGGCTGGTATCGAAGGTTTGGGATATACGTGTTGAGTGGCACGCAAGCGAATAGGAGCGAACAGTATTAACGGGCTTGCTGTTGTTGTTGCTGCTGCTGCTGTTTGTTTGTGCCTACGCGCGCGCGAACCACGCGGTCGGATTCAGGATTCTGGACATCCTTTCCTGGTCGTCGGGGGGCCTCGGGGCCTCGGGACGCCTCTCGGGGCCTCGGGAGGCGTCTAGGGACCTCCTAAAGCCCCTAGGGGCTATCGGGGTGGACGAAAGGCACGCTACACCAAGCCACGCGCCGGAACGCGTTGGCGAAAACAGGACACAAGATATCACGGGCATGACGTGAAACGTGTGTACATTATGCTTCGTAATTTTTACAAATCGTCGCCTTCGTCATCGCGGTTTGCAACGTGTGCTGCAATACTTCGGCAACCGATGGGGTCCTGCAGACACTGCGACCAAATACGTTCCTGGCCAGGGTGAGCAACCACATCCGGCGTAGACATTCCGCTCATTTTTTGGGGTGTCTGCTTTTCCTCCTTTGATGCGCACCCACGATTGAACGACCAGTGTCGGGCTGAAACGTGAGCAACCACCAAACATGTGTTCCTGGAAACCCACCAGCTCGTCCGGATCATAATGCTACTGTTTGCTGTGGGAGGAAGTGCACGCTGTGCTGCACTTGCCCGGCTTGTTTCAAAACTCTGCTCGGGTGGACGAAATGGGCGGCACGACATCTGAAGGGCTCGCGAATGGGATGCCATCCGTTGGTTCTCCTGGAACGACCACGTCGCAATGACAGTGCCCGTCGGCGGCGCAAGCACCAACAGCATGCAACAGATTTTGCAACCTCCCGTCTCCCAGCCACTCTCCATCGCGCGCGTGGCGCTCTATCCTCGGCCTCGCTGTCTGGCAAGCCGGTGGTGCCGGGGGCGGGCGGCGCGCGGACGCTCCGTGCGAGACGCATCTGTGTGATCGTCCATCCATGAGAGCGCCTCGGCATCCATACTACTGTAGAGGGCAGAAAATCCACCCCGATAAAAACCACCCAAACACGCGAAGCCGTTTAGTAAACGCACCCAAAGAAGGAATCAAACAAGGCAGGGCTGTTTCGCAAAACGCCCAGGGCCGTTTAGTAAACTCCAATTGTCTGGTCTGGGTGGTTTTTCCTCTCTTGATACTGGGACATGGTTACGTACATGACCGATGTACTCCGCTCAAAACCGATCCATGGGCCCCTCCCGAGGTCTTTCCAAACAACAACCTTCTCATGCCAGAACGACTTCTGACGGTCCCGGGGCCCGAAGACGGCCGCAAGACGCCGAAGAAGACGAGACCTTGATCCTCGATGCCGCTTCACAAGTGATGGAGCTACCGCGGCTCGAGATTGATTCGCCGCTCGTGGCCCTCTTTGTTCGTTCATGGGGGAAGGGGTAATCGACTGGGGTGGAGAACGGACCCCGAGCAAGCTGCCGATGGGTTGCATGTTTTCCCGGATTCGCATGCCCCGGAGGTGTGGGCCCGTTCCCTGTATTGTTTATCATTTCGGATCCGTTTCGGGCCCAAAATCGACCACAGGAGGCCGAAGCAAAAGAAACACGCCGCGAATGATGGGGGATCGCGCCATTTCCTTGCCTCTTCAGGGCGGCGAACGCGGGCGCTTCTACAAAAGGTGCTGTCGGCCCTTCGCTTTTTCCTGTTGCTGTTGCTTTTCCTTCTCCTCTTCCTCCTCCTCCTCCTCTTCCTCCGCCTCGTCCTCCTTTTTGCGCCGAGTGCCAACCGCGGAAATGGCGGACCCGTTGGCTCCCAAGGGGGCGCCCCTGAGCTTTGTCCCGCAACGCACGGCGCCGTACACAAATGCCAGGGTCAAACCGCTCCCGCCTCACGGCAGCCTACGTTGCTGTGGAGCTGCCGGGCCGTGGCCCCGTGTAAGGCCGCGGAAAACTCCGCCCCCGATCGCTGGCACAGGGCATGGCTCTCGAAACTCTGCTCGTGGCCCTCGTAGCTCAGCTGGTGGCTCTGGTAGCTCGCCTGGTGGTCCTCGTAACTCTGCTCGTGGCCCCCCGGCTCAACGGGTCGCCGTCGTGGCTTTTACCACGTGGCTCTCGTGACTCCATTCGCGGCCCTCGTGACGCAGCCTGTGGCTCTCGCAGATGTGCCCGTGGCTTTCGCTGTTCGGGAAGTGAGTCTTGAGGATCCCCGAGTGGCTCTCGTGCCTGTGCAGCGTGGCCCTCGCAGCTCCGCTTGGGGGTCCCCGGAGGACTTCTTGGCCCTCGTACGCTCTCCAACCGTGGCGACGACGGCGAATCCAGCCGTGGCGACGACGGGGCGGCCCCAGGCGACGTAGCCCGAATGGCAAGGTGTGGGGTGCCGCCGCGAGGGGGGTAAACCCTAAACCCTAAACCCTAAACCCTGCCTAGGTCAACCTTGGGTTGATGCGCCCGTGGGGGCAAGGACTCCTCCACCTCGGTGGCCTTTTCCTCTCCCCTTACGCGCCGGGCCCGCTGTCCACGTCGCCGTAACTCTGCGGCCCTCTCCTGTGTTGTGTTCTTTCATCCCTCTTGAGTTCGTCCTCCTCTTCGTCCTCCACCCAATTGTTGTTCCTCCTCGTCCTCGGCTGCCTTCTCCTCCTCCCTCTTCCTCCGAGACCGCAAATCCTGGGCCAGCAGCGCGACGAGGTACTCCTTCCCGGCGCGCGCAGCGTCCTCGCTGGCGCACCACCAAGTCGTGCGGGGAGCTCGGAGTGAAGCCAGGGAGCCAGAGCGTTGGCGTCATCGATTGCGACCGCGCCCCGCAACAGATCAAGGTAATGGTCCTCCTCGAGCTCCTGTGCTATCCCCGCCTCCTCCTCCTCCTCCTCCTCCTCCTCCTCCTCCACCGCCTCCGCCACCTCCTCCGCCCCCTCTTCCTCCTCCTCCGCCTCCTCGCTGGCCTCCTGCGCGGGTTCCTGGCGCTGTGCCTGTACAGGTCGCCCTTGCCGTCGTCCACTCGTCGTACCTCAGACCCTAGTACTGGGCCCATTCCCAGCGAGCCTGCGTGTCCCCATAAATTGGTTGGTCGTACTTCTGGGACCTCGACGTCGATGTACTTGTGTTCCACCTTGTCGTACTTGGTGTCGTACTTGCTGTGTCTGGTGTTGTTCTTGCTGTCGTACTCGTCGTCGCACTCCTAAGAGCAGCGGTGGTAACAATCATGATGTCTTTGGGATCTGGCTGACGTCCATGTCTCATGTGGTATCCCGCACGCCTACGGGCGGAATTGGTTCTCGGCAGCACGTCTCCAAAATGGGGATCCTCGTAACGTAACTGCCGATCCACACGTAGATCTTGATGACCCGCCCGTAGACCTCCATAGTCCGCACATTGATCTTGATGTTCAGCCCGGGGACCGTAAACGGCGCCCTCTCGCCACGGCGCGGCCAACGGGCTGAGGCCGCCCCCCCTTGCACGCGGGGGATACGAATTTACCGCAAATGGCCTTCTTCTCCTCCTCCTCCTCCTCCTCCTCATCCTCCTTCTACTCCTTCCGCTCCTCCTCTCCCCCTCGGAATCGACGGGGCAGGCAGGGTGGGGAGAGCGTCGATCCCTTGCTCCTCCTAAGCAGCGAGCGCGGACGGTGCTGCGAAAAGGCTGTTCCTCCTCGAGCTCCGCCGCCTGCTGCTGCACCTTGCTCGTCAGCTCCACCTGGCCACACAGGTTGCGTCTCCTCTCCTCCTCCTCCTCCTCCTCCTCCTCGGCTGAAGAGGAGGCAGAGAAGAGGAAGGAGATGCGGCGGAGGAGGCAGGATAGGAGGCAGGGAAGAGGAGGCAAGATAATGCGGAGAAGGAGGAACACAAAAGTGCCCCCATTTCCCGGCCTCCATGACCCCCACCAACAACCCTCAACTCCCAGACTGGCCGCCAAATGGAAACGGACGCCTGTGAAGCAACCTTCGCATGACGCATGCGGGCCCTGAAGAAAACGGGTCCTGGATCCGAAATTTTTCCTGGGACCAACTTTTCCGCTTTAAGAACTTTTTCATCCCGCGGCGAAGAGCCGGGACCCGTTTCTCTCGAGACCCCCCTCCCTCATGGCGAGAATGTCGCGAAACGGACGCTGCAAGCCGGTGAGGCAATGGAGGAGCTTGGAGAGGACCCAGGCTGCGCTGGCTGGCTTCAGCGCGGGGGGGAACCCCCACAGATGTTCCAGAACCGAGGTGCCTGCTCGAGGAGGGCGAGGTAAGGAGGCGGAACCGCCTGGCGCCCGTCGTGCAGCCGCGCGTACGTCGGAGACCTCGGCGAGGGGAGGGAGGGAGGGCGAGGAGGACCAAACGTCGTATGAGGTGCTCCTGTGTCGGGCATCATGACCCTGCATCGAGAGCAAAATGCCAACATTGCGGGCGTTCTGACACGGCCGCCCGCTCCTGAGACTGATCGCCAAGCTCGGGACGGATCCTCGAATCTCCTTCTGGCGCACCTCGGGCTGGCCAGAGGATGAGATGAAGAGACGCAGATCAAGGAGGATGAACGCCAAGAGTGGAATCATACTTCAGAACATAAACATAAGCTCTCGGAGGTCCGCGCGGATCTTTGTATTGGCGCCTGCATCCCCTTGGCGGCGCTTCCGAGGCCGCCCTTGCGCGATTCAAGAACTCCGCGAGGGTCTCCAAACATTTCTGCGTTTGCATCTGTTTGTTTCTGCTTCTCTAAAGAAGAGCAGGAGGAGCGAGGCTCAGGCTCAGAAGTCATACATGTTGCGTTTCTTCTATTCGGGATCCCAAAAGTCCCGACCCTTTCCACATAGCCGCTTTTCCATCCTGAACTGTTCTATGATGGCTCCCGCGCCTGGCGAAAAACTTCAAATGCCGAACATTGTGAAACACCTCCGCGTCGATTTTCTCAATGCGCCAGGAGGTCTGGAACGAAACGGCGGCGGCGGCTTGGCATGGCGCAAGCGTGTCCTGAGGGGAACGGGTCCTGCAACCCGCGGCATTTCCCCGGGACCAACTCTTCGTCCTACCAGTCGCTCTTCCCGACCCTGTGGGCGCTCGAAACCGGCGGAGAACCCCGAGGACCCGCTGCCATCGAGACCCGATTGCTCAGGAGGGGAAAAAACACACAGACACAATTAATCGTCGACTCCCAGGAAAATATGGGAAAATATAGGAAGTGGGGGGGAAGACAGAAACCCAGAAAATATGGGAAAATATGGGGAATCTTTTTATTTGTGTGTATTTATTTGTGTGTCCCAGTTCCCCTTCAATTGCCTCGTGGCGGCGGCGGCGGGCGGCGGCGTCGAGCCGCGGGCCCGCTGAGCGGCCGGTCGTCGCCAGGGGCGGCGGCGGCCTCGCCCCGCCGGGGCGCGGGGGCCCTGCCGCGCAGGGCGGCCAGCTCCTCCTCGGCGCGGTGGCGGGCCGGCAATTTGGGGGCGGCGGGGGGGGGAGGTGGCGTGCTTGTTTTCCACCACCACCACCGTAAGTAAGGAGGTGGAAGGGGGTCCTCCTTCTCCTCCTCCTCCTCCTCCTCCGCCTCCTCCTCCTCCTCCTCCACCTCCTTCCCCCCTCTAACATATGGTGGTGGTGGTGGAAAACAAGCTCATCAGGAGGGGCGGCGGCGCCCTGGCGTCCCGCGATCTGCGTGGTTCCCTGAGCAGCGGATGCTGTCTTGGAAAGGGAGGGCGACTCCAACATCCTGGATGCAAAACAGGGGCCGCCCGCGCCGTGCCCCGTGCCCGCGTGCCGTCACCGTGCCCGCGTGCCGTCACCGTGTGTCGTGCCGTGACCGCGTGCCGTGCCATGCGTAATTTCTGGAATGCGGAAAAAATGCCGCCCGCGTGCCGTGCCGTGCCATGCGTGGCTTTGAGAATGACAGGATTGCCGCGCACATGCCGTAACTTGCCGTGCCCGCGTGCCGTGCCGTGACGTGCCCGCTTGCGGTGCCTCATTCCTCGGGTGCGGCGAAAGTGCCGCCAGTTGCCGCCCGCGTGCCGTGCAGTGCCGCGGCCGAATGCCATGCCCAGCCGTAACAATTGCCACCAACATGCCATGCCGGCGTCCCGTGCCCAGCTGTGCCGTGCTGTGCTCGTGTGCCATGCCGCGCCGTGCCTACGTGCGGAGTACAGCCGGCGTGCCGCGCCGTGCCCTCCCACAGCCCCCCAAGAAGCCCCAAGAGGCCCCCAGGAGGCGTCCCACGAGGCCAACAGGAGGCCCAAATCAGCGATTTCCTTTGGGAGAACGTGCATTTTTAGCATACACGGCTTTTCGGCTTTCACGGCGTTGACGACGGCCCAAGAGGCCCCCAAGGCCCCAAGACGGCCCAAGAGGCTCCCAAGAGGTCCCCACAACGGCCCAAGAGGGCCCCCAGACGGCCCAAGAGGCGCCCAAGACGGCCCCAAGAGGGCCCCAAGACGGCCCCAAGAGGGGGACCACGAACCCGACAGTCTAGCCTTTCGCCCAAAGACGCTCCCGGGAGGCCCCCACAGCCCCCAAGAAGCCCCAAGAGGCCTCCAAGAGGCCCCCAAGAGGCCCCCAAGAGGCCACCAGGAGGGCCCGAAAAGGGCGCCGATAGGACTCTCACGAAGGCCCAGAGACGCCAAGAGCGATCGGTAATGCAAAAAGCTCTTCACACCAAGGCTCCCAAGAGCGAACAGTGACGTGAACAAGCTGATAAGACCCAGGCTCCCAGCAGAGAGCGGTGACGTAACAAGTTTCTGACACCAAGGCCCAGCCAAGGCTCAGGAACGGGCGGCAACGCAACCATCTCTGAACCCCAAGGCTCCCAAGAGCGAGGGGTGACGTAACCAGCTCTCAACGCCCAAGCTCCTGGTACGAACGGTGGTGTGAGTAATTCGCCGGCCCAACGGGCCAGAGGCGTGCTAAGATCTCCGGTAACTGCTCAACAATATTTCTAGTTCGCGCGCGCGGGGCGGGCCCTGGGGGTCCCCGGACGAAAAGGATCCCGGCAAGGTCCCGGCAGACTCCCGGCAAGGTCCCTGCAGACTCCCGGCAGACTCCCGGCAAGGTCCCTTTTCGGAGCCCAGGAGGGCTCCAAACGGTCCAAGAGAGGCCCGAGAAGCCCTCCAGACGGTCCAAGAGAGCCGGGAGACGCTGAAATATCACTCCCAAACGCCTGCGATGGCCTCAAGACGGCCCAACAGGCCTTCAAGACGCCCCAAGAGGTCCCTAAGCGGCGTCCCAAGAGGGCTACCACTAGCAAACATTTAGGAAAGCGTGCATTTTTAACATATCCGCCTCTTCGTCTTTCACACCTTTCAAGGCGGTCCAAGAGGCCCCCAAGATCACCCCAAGACGGCCCGAGAGACCCTCAAGACCGCTCAAAGACGGCCCAAGAGCGCTCCAAGAGGGCCCAAGAAACCCTCAAGAACTCTTTTTTCGGAGCCCAGGAGGGCTCCAAATCGGTCCAAGAGGGGCCCGAGAAGCCCTACAGACGGTCCAAGAGAGCCGGGAGACGCCGAAATATCACCCCCAAGCGCCTACGGTGGCCTCAAGACGGCCCAACAGGCCTTCAAGACGCCCCAAGAGGTCCCTAAGAGGTCCCTAAGAGAGGGCTCCCACTAGCAAAAAACGTTCCATTCCCATAGGAAAACGTGCATTTTTAACATATCCGCCTCTTCGTCTTTCACACCTTTCAAGGCGGTCCAAGAGGCCCCCAAGATCACCCCAAGACGGCCCGAGAGACCCTCAAGACCGCTCAAAGACGGCCCAAGAGCGCTCCAAGAAGGCCCAAGAAACCCTCAAGACGGTCCAAGAGGCCCCAAGACGGCCCCATGATTGAGGTCCACAGGGGCAACCTGAACGGAAATTTTGAGCCTCCCGCCCAAACACGCCCCCGAAATGCCCCTACAAGCCCCCAAGTAGCCCCACGAAGCCCCCAAGAGAGCCCCAAGAGGCCCCCAACAGGCCGCAAGAAAGCCCCAAGAGGCCCCCAAGAGACCCCCAGGAAGCTCCCAGGAGGCCCTCAAGAGGTCAGGCAGACCCCCCCAAGAGACCACCAAGAGAGCCCACCCAGAGCCATCCACGAGGCCTCCCAAGGTTCCCAAGAAGCTCCCACGAAGCGTCCAAGGGCTCCCAAGACCCCCCAAGACCCCGCGATGGCACAATACGGGCCTGCGGAATGAGCGAAGCGATTCAATTTCGGTTTCTGTTTCTGAAGCGCTCTTTCCGTTTCTGTGCCGGGCCCAGGTGAACAGACATCGTGGAGGGGCGAGTTATCATTGCGCTCAATGCGGAATGATCTCGCACATGGGGAGAGGGAGGGGCAGTGCAGATGCGCTGCGCTGGAATCGCTGGAAGGGGCAAGGCGCGCGTTGTCGCCATAGTCTTGCTCGGTCAGGGACACCGCCGCGGGGTCCTCGCGGCTGCAGCGCATGCCCCCGCCGCGAGACCCGCCGCCGCGGAGGCTAGGATACGCTATTGGGAGCAAGCGCAGGCGCTCCGCGGGAAGGCGCCGGGGGACCACGCCCTCCCGGGTGGGGATCTGGACGCGGTCGCCAGCGAGGGGCCCATGATGAGTTTGCCCCGCATCTCGGCCAGCTGGTTGGAAGCGGGACAATTGAGACCAGTATCCACATGATGACGGCCGCCCGAGATGCGGGGATGCTAGCGGCGGGAACGCTATGGGCGGTAACGGCTGCATGATTGACCATTGGCTTTGCAGAGGCAGCAACAAGTGGTTCGTCACCAAATGCCACGCGATTCGCTACGCGGAGGGGGATGGTAGACCCGATTGGGGGGAATACACGGACCATGGGCCAGTGGAGTTGGGGCTCCAGCCGCGTCGCGATTGGCGCCGCGCAAAGCCCAAACGAGCCGCGGAGCGCCCAGCTTGGTCGCGCCTGCGCGGGCCCAGCAAGGAGGCCCAGGCGCGTCGTTCGAGTTTCGCAGCCGCCGTGCACGCTGCGATGGACGCCCACGGAATGGGCGTGCTGCGGGACGACTTGGTGCTGTTGTCACGCGGGCAAGCTCTCGAAGTTTTGAGAAGGGCGCACCCCCCCTGCGCGCGGCTCCTGGCTACAGGGGAAGGAAACCGAAACGGCGGCCGCGGACGCGACGGTGCCCGCCCCTTCCAAAACCGCGCCGCCCCTGACCCGGCGGTCCACCAGGCCCCCTCCCCCAGGGGCCTCGCCGGGCGTGGGAAGGGCGCGCGCCTGCCATTCGACTCCTGTTCGGTGATGCCTCGACCAGGGCGCGTGGTGGCACTGGGGTTGCTGGCGCTGGGAGAGGGCCCTCGTCGCCGCGGAAGGGTTGCAGGTCGAGGCGGAAGGATTGTTGGACGGAGGGGCACCGCCGCGGACACCGCGAGCGCCTTTCGTCGCCACGGCTGGAAATCGGCACTCCAGCGCATCCCCCCACGCAGGTGGATTGCGCGCCGCTGCCCAGACGGGGCGGCGCCTGGCGCCCCACCTTGCGCCCTGCCGAGGCCGCGCTGAGCCGGCCGCAGGGAAGCGCCGACGGGCGTCGCGACTGGCCCCCCCGCACTCCACCGCGGTCGCCTCGCCTCACCACCCCGCCCATGCGGCGACGAACGCCGGCATTCCGAGCGCCGATTGCCGCGGCACCTCCCAAGGCGGGGAGCGCGCCGCCCCTGTCCCAAGTGTCTTCTGCCACGACGTCGCCTCTCAATGCCGTCGGGGCCATGGCTGCCGCAATCAAGGGCGCGCGGCGAGCCGGCGGCGGGCCCGGCGCGGCCTGGGCCAGGCATCGTTTCAGCGTGGCGGGGGCAACAGGGGCCCCTGCCGACGCGATGACGCCATTATTTGCAGCTTCCTCCGCGCCCTGGCCTCGTCGCCTCCCTGATCGCAATCGCGCGCGTATTCGAAGCCCCCCCCCCGCAGGCCCCCAGCTTCTGCTCGGGGCCTGCCTCTTCCCGCCGCCGTCGTTCCATGCCCAGTGGCTGCCTGCGCCGTGGTCGCCCCGCACAAGAGCGGGCCCCGTCGCAGTGGGCTGGTCTTGCCGCTTTCTCGTGGCCTCTGGGCCCCCCCCCCCACCTCCCCGCCTGGGGGGCGCCCTGCTCCGCCGCCCCAGCCCCCTGCTTCTGCCCGGAGTTCGCCGGCCTTCTGCTATTTTTGTTCAGGCGCTCCCTGTGGCACCCTGCGGGCCCTTGCCGTGCCCTGCGCTGGCCGGGCGACATGTGCTGCGCTGCCAGCGTCTTGCCCCTCTGCCTGGTCTTCGGGCCACCCATCCAGGCACCGGCTACTGGTGTTCTGGACGCTGCCGCTTCCGCTGTACCTTGCCCCGCCGTCGGCCCGCGGCCCGTTGGCCCTTTGGTCTCGGTGCTCGCCCTGCCCGCTCCCCTGGGCGCGCCGCGCCGCCCGCCCCCGGCGCGCGTCGCTTCGCCGGGTCGTCGCCGCCTGCCTCCGCGCCCTGCGCCTCGTAATT